TGCTTCTCCAGGCGGCTCGGTCCTGAGTTGTCTTACTGTTAACTTGGGCTTCTTTATGGTCGTTGTTCATTTCGGACATCCATCCATCAATCCATAAAATTTCAATCTGTTCAATGGTAAACGACAGTTAAATAAGTAGGAAGATAAAATATCCTTCACTAGTTCTTCAATTATGAAATAGATGCAGAACTGGGAGGCAAATTGCTACCAGTATGTAGAAAAGCCGAAAACTCATAAAATTCATTTTATTTTTGCAAGTAGGCAAAAAGCACTTTTATACGTCCCAGTATTAATCCTACCACTGCTGCGCAAGAAAAACAAAACAAGCTTTGTTTTGGCTATGTTGGTGGAATATTTGGCACAATAATTTCTATGTTTACCTTTTATTTTTACGTTGAACCCACACACAATGTTTGCGTGTAGGGCGGCAGGTGTAAAGGACGATCTCACGATAAAAATCTTATTATAACGATGAAACAAACATACAAAAAGATGTATTCAGTATATTCGGTAAATATTATTGGTATCGAATTTAGCATTTTCCAAACAAATGTAAATACCTATATTACTATTAACTGAGGTTAACTAATAAACAAACACATGAGTGTTTAGAATACAATTACTAAGGTATTCTTTAGTTAGTGCTTCGATTATAAATTATCCTGCTTTCGCCTCCGAGATTTATTTCACCATGTAGTACCCCTGTACGACAAGCCAATCCGCACACAATATTCAGCGCAGTAGTAGTAAAAAACAAAAGAGCGGGCAACCCCACCCCTACCACGCTGTGGGCTCGGTGTCCGAGCGGTCTCATTCCNTTTTTACAATCAGTAGTCGTACTTAACAGTTAATAGAAGTACAAATAAATGTATATAATAATACTCTATAATGAACAAAATCTTGTTGAGACCGTGATACTTGTTATTGTTATGAATAAGTGATGCAATACGATTATAATACAAAAATATTGCTTTATTATGTATTTAGTACATTGACATTTACTCTCTTAACCATTTAACATGGACATTGATCCATGCTCTAAACATCTACATGGTAAAATAAATCTCGGAGGCGAAAGCAGGATAATTGAATGATCAAACGAACTTACCAAGTGAAGTTCGATCTAAATTATCCTGTTTTCGCCGAAGAGATTTAAGGTCCCTCCCAACCCGAAGATTTCTATATCTTCTTCCCTGGAGGTAAACGTCAATGTCATCTCTTCTCTAAATATAATGAGACCGCTCGGACACCGAGCCCACAGCGTGGTAGGGGTGGGGTTGCCCGCTCTTTTGTTTTTTACTACTACTGCGCTGAATATTGTGTGCGGATTGGCTTGTCGTACAGGGGTACTACATGGTGACTTAAATCTCTTCGGCGAAAACAGGATAATTTAGATCGAACTTCACTTGGTAAGTTCGTTTGATCATTCAATTATCCTACCAAAAGTAATTATATCAGTGAATTGATGATAGACCGTTACTAATCCATAATTAAACTCATTCAAACCGCTCTTTTAATTCAAAATTAAATCTCATTTGATGCAAAAAATACCATTAGTTCTTCCATTATCTATAAAGCCCTAACAATGGATACTTTTTATTGCCATCTCTATTCGAATTCAAATGTTATCACAAAAACCCAATTCATTATCTTAAATTGCGCGTTTCCAAATCTTAAACGAATTTCTTTTGTCTACTTTATCATTGGCTTTCGACTGAAAAGCTTTTACGAATAATGTAGAGCTAAAGTAGAGAAACACGAGTCTCAATGCTATATTTTTTTATCTGAATTACATGTACTCACAGAACTTGACGTTTCGGCTGCTATACTGCAGCCGTGGTAACAAGCAGAGAGCAGACGGCGTCAAGCCGTGAGTACATAATATGTAAAGCTAAAATAGAGAAACACGGGTCTCAACGCGATATTTTTACTTAATATGCACTCACGGCTTGACGTTTCCGCTGCTATGCTGCAGCCCTGAGCCCCGATTACGGTAACTTTTAACGTTTCCAAGCGTACGCTGTTGAACGACCAATCGTATCGCAGAATCGAGAAGCGTGTCTGGATTGGAAACGTTAAAAGTTACCGTAATCGGGGCTCTGTTTTGACCAATCGTATTGCAGAATCAGAAACGCGTCTGGATTGTAGACGTTAAAAGTTACCGTAATCGGGGCTCTGGTCACAAGTAGACAACACATTTCGTCAAGCTGTGTACATTAAGTATCTCAGACAAAAAAAAGTCGCGTTGAGACCTGTGTTTCTCTATTTTAGTTGGAATGGAATGCGAATGTTTAAAATCTTATAATGTGGAGCTGGAGCTCACTCACTAACTTCAGTAGTATAGTATAGGTAACTACTTATAATGAACAATACACCATAACGTAGTAACATTGTAGGAAAATTGATATAAATCAGTTGGACATTTACTACCGACAAATTGCTGTAAATTAGGTATAATTGCAAATAATAACAGTACAGTAAAACAATGTCAGCTCCATTGAAATCTCCAAACATTGTTCATATTAATCATCTCCTTCTTTGGAGACGGATGTCATAGCAACCGTGCCCGAATGTAGATACTACAACCAAACGCTCTCTCTATTTTTTTTTTATTAGTGTAGAGGCACGCCTAGGCCTACCCAACTTTCAGCCATATTATTATAACGCATCTCCTTATCACTTGTTAAGGAAAATAACCAGAATGCGTTATTACGTATTAGGACACGCTTCAAGCAATAACTACTGAATTACTATGATGCAACTTTTATAGTGTAATAGGTAGTTAGATAAAGTTGCCGGCAGAAGCGTCTTTCACAACATTTTTCAGGCCCAAAATGCAACAATACAAAAAGCTTTTCCAGAACCAATAAAAACGCAATGAAAGAAACATTCGCATTATTTGCGTTTTACAATGGCAACAAAACGTGGATGTTGTTACTTGTCATAACCCTTTGATCTTTTAATGAGACGTTACAATGCTTATTTTTGAAATTCATAAAGCATTTCATAAAAGATACTTTGGGATGTTAAAGCGTTTAAGCTTGGTATAAAAATAATAATATGAAGTTTAATAAAACGGCAATGTTTTAACTCACGTTTCGTAGATTAAATTAAACTAAATATGATACGAGTAATTTGCATTTGACTCAAGTAAATTAGAATTGTATGCTGTATAGAAAACATCAAAATAAATAGAAAGGACATCATCCACGTTTCATACATTTTTGGTCCAAAATCAAAAGTGCCGGCCAACAAAAAAAAGTGCTGTATTCTGACAGAATACCTCTGCCTTAGCATTTGTTACTATGGCACCAAAGCCGTAGCTCCACTGTGCGTCGAGTATTTGAGATCTAAAAGTCATCGATTTATTCATTCATTTTTTGTTCAAAATCAAAAGTGTCGGCCAATAAAAAAAAAGTGCTGTGTTCTGACAGAATACGTCCGCCTTAGCATTTGTTACTATGGCACCAAAGCTGTAGCACCACTGTGCGTCGAGTATTTGAGATCTAAAATTCATCGACGATTCATACATTTTTTGTTCAAAATCAAAAATGTCGGCCAATAAAAAAAAAAGTGCTGTATTCCGACAGAATACGTCCGCCTTAGTATTTGTTACTATGACACCAAAGCTGTAGCACCACTGTGCATCGTAATATTTGAGATCAAAGTCAGTCGTTTCATATATTTTTAGAGCTCAAATACTACGATGCACAGTGGTGCTACAGCTTTGGTGCCATAGTAATAAATGCTAAGGCGGACGTATTCTATCAGAATACAGCACTTTTATTTTTTGGCCGGCACTTTTGATTTTGGACCAAAATGGATGATGTCCTTTGAATAAGTACATTAAGATTCTTCTAATTTTATACTTGCAAGTGCATTGGATTTTGCGTTATTTGTATCACTTGATATGATTTGTATTAGAAAGTGTTTTAACTTAATATCATTTTCAATTTTCATTTTTAATATTCAATTTTACGTATTTTTTGTGTTTTTACAAACATTATTGCCAATATCGGTGTTGTAGTTGAAACACGTTCTCAATTTCTTTTCCTAATAGCTAATATCCAAGTTATCCGAGTCGAAACTTTTCGGGAAGTACTGAATTAGTAATGATCGGAGCCCTAACGTGTCCGATGTTGCTAGGCCCTTTCTCACAGAGCGCTCCAGGCCCAGGGCCTCGTGAAAGATAGGGCCCCAGCACTACTTACTTTTAAAAAATGTTAAAATCATCTGAATACCAATATTCAAAATGATTAACAGTTGGCAAACTTTTGGCAGTTCTATCTATTTACTTGTGAAATACAAGTAATATTATAAATGTAAAAGTTTGTGAAGATGGATGAATGGATGTTTGTAACTCTTTCACGAAACCATTACACGGATTTTAATAAAATTTGCTATAGATTACCCTTTATGTCTCGATTTTTAAAAAGGAGACGAGCGCGATAAAATCTTTCTGTGACACACTGAAAACCACGCTGGTAAAGCCTTGCAAAAAATTTATTTAGTGATCTATCTAAAGTTTTTTTTGGACATAGTTGAGGATATTTTCTAGGGCTTTTAACGGATGGAAACACGATTTGATGAAGTTGACTCGATAGAATAAATTCACAAAGTTACCTCTATTCGTTTTCTATTTATGGTTTTTTTTAGAGAAAGGAACCCCATGATCCTTATGCCCGGGGCCCTTAGAAAGTTAAAGACGGCCCTGACCGTGGCCCGGCAGTACTGAGTAATACAACTTTAAGCGCTATTCGTGTATGGTATTTTTATCAATATAAGTAGACCCTTTATATTCCAAGGGGTTGTCGGACGGCACGAAAAACGTTAACTATTTTCTTATAGCAAAACTAAGCCTGGGTATTAGTGCGTGACACATTAGAAATTCTAAAAAACTTAAAAAAAGCTCATACCCTCCGTGGTTTAGCCACAGTCTTATTAAAGCTCTCAAGGAAAAAAATAGATTAAGACTGCGCTATAAAAAGTATAGTAATCCTATGGATGGTATAGAACTGGGTATAGTCTCTAAAAGGTGTAGTAAATTGACCGCTCAATGTTACAAGCAACACGTTGATAAACTTGAGGAAGGAATCACTAGCAACCCCAAGTTGTTCTGGACCTTGATTAAAAGTAAAAGAGGAGGCAGCAGTAGTTACCCAGCTAATATGTCTGACGGACACACCTCTACATCTGATAGCTCAAGTATCTGTGAATTGTTTGCCATCGATGCCTTCTCAGCTGTATTTGATGATGGTAGTAGTCTGGGCCCGGCTGAGTGTATTGATCCCAGCTTTATTGCTGCCCTAAAAGCAAACGCCCTGGGTCTGAATGCACCTTTACTATATTATGACGAAGTGTTGGCTAGTTTAGAATCCTTAGACGCTTGTAAGGGTGCAGGACCGGACAATGTACCCCCTTTATTTCTAAGAGTTTGTGCATTGGAGTTGGCGGAGCCTCTACTTGCTATATTTAACAAGTCGCTATCTGCAGGAGTTTTCCCTTCCGTTTGGAAGATGGCTAAGGTAGTTCCAGTCTATAAAAGTGGCAATAACTCCCTCATTGCAAATTATAGGCCCATATCAATTCTATCAGCAGCTGCCAAAATTTTTGAATCTCTCATCTGCCCACACCTTCA